TTTCAATATTCATAAGAAGCGCGTAAGGTAAGAAGATTACTCCACTCTTCATATATCTCTCAAGACCAAAAATGTTCTCTCAAATATTTGCTCTTCGGCTTATGTTCCTCTGAGAATTTATGATCTGCTTCATTTGTATTCCTCACTAAAAATAGCGGATTATTGAAAAAGTGTTCTCATTTTTTACATCCTATATTTCATATTTTTTGAAAGAGTTTAGATTAAGGATTTATTTTTCTTACTAGAAATTGAAGAAAAAAACATATTCGAAAATAGAGTAGAGAGGATATGCGGATATTTTAAAATATTTTTTTTATTGTAGTTATAATGTTAAAAATTATATATTTAAAAATGAAAAAAAAGTTTCCATATGATGAATAGGTGGGAAAATTCACAATAGAAAACATATGGTAAATAGTTGCGAAAATTCAAAATAAAAATACAATTTTCAATTGTTTATTTGAAAAAAGAAAAAGTAAAGCATATATTTCGGGAAACAGTAAGCTGCTTAGGCAAAATGAATTTATTAAAATTGAGCGAAAATGTATCCAAATAGCTCAAAAACAAATATAGCCAAAGCAAAAAACCGCAAATGCTCACTACTAAGTATAGTGACCTGCTCAAATCTGCTGTTTCAATTTTGAACATGTCAATAAAATCAATAATGAGTATATGGAGTTTTCAAATTTGATTATTTTAGTTTCGGATTTATTTTAACGCATGTTTGTTCAGTTTTGGGAAACCCTTTTTAACAGAGTAGATAGATACTTTCTTTATAAATAAAACTTTATCACAATAACAAAATCAAACATTATATATTTAGAAGTGGTTTAGAAAAGCTTTTATTGATTGATATAAATAAATGGTATAAAAATTCACAAAAGCTAAACAATTTTTTTCACTTTTATATTAAATGACAAAAAAAAAATATATATTTATGAAAAAACTTGTGTGGATAAACGAAAATTGTTTGTAAGGAAAATATCATATTAACAATGTCGAGCATAAAAATTCTGCTGAATAGCTTAAATAAATGATACCAAAAATTCAAAATATTAAAACGATTGCGTATTTATATTCAAAATTAATAAGAACCCAAATTTTTATCAATATTTTACAAAAATGGAATATTGGTGACTAAATTTGAAATGATCAATTATTACACAAAACTATTTGTTGCAAATAGTATATCAGAAGTAGCTGCTTGAAAAATGTATCACAAAGAAAGTTGAACTTTTCATGCGGGAAACATTGAAGAAGATCGATGAAGATTCTCCTAGAAATCGGGTAATAAATATAGACCAGACAGAAAAAAATCACAAATTTTGTCTGTACGTTTATTTTTTTACAAGTAAAAATATATCCGCAGAATGTTGCTAATACAGGATTATTTATAATTATGTAATGGATTTAATGTTTGCAAAATACTACATTCTACATATAGACTATTTATTTTTATTAATTACAAAGTAGTATCCTGAATGTAATTTTCAGAAAAGTTTATAAGTTGACATCATCAACCTGTGTTAAAATACGCATTGAAATTTCGATAAGAGCACAAGATCATCAAGTAAGAACAGAAATTAATAACAATAATACTAATAAACATTCAAGTACCTTAAAACTGTATATAAGTAAACTAAACTCAGTGGCGCGACAGCCCATAGAGGGCCAAGGCCTACTGTGCCCATCTCAGTTTTCTTGACCTTGGGCTCTGGGATGCAGGAGCAGATGTTGCGGTTAGGTGATCAGCCGAATGCGGAACCCTTAGTGTTTAGCTCCCAAGCATGCTTGGTACTCATTTATCGATCCACTGAAGGAATGAATGGCTGAGTTAACCTTGCCCGGCTCGAGGATCGAACCCAGGACCTGTGGCACGGGAGCGCGAAGCACTACCCCTCAGCCACTGGGCGTCACTGTATATAAGTAATATTTATTTAATATAGAAGGCATAATTAACAATAAATATTTGCGATGTTTTTGTGACAAGCAACAACTAATTTGTTGATTGGTAATTTCAGCCTTCAAAATGATCTCAGTGTTTCACACAACTATACAAAGTGTTCTGCAAAGGCAGTCCTTACTATATGCATATTTAGAATCCTAGTCAAACATGAAGCTGGAAATATTTAAACGCCGAAAAAAACAATACAAATTACGATTAATGAATGCTGTTAATTTATACAACAAAATAAGCTTAATAACAAGTAGAAACATAGCGAAGTTAGACAATTTTAGGAAACATTTTCAAGTTTTCTTTTGCAAATTCTCAGTTGTGTATCTTTCAATTTCTTTCACTTTTAAATATTGATTTGTAATTCTCCAACGTGTGGAGTTTTTGGTCTTCCTTTTTTACATAAATTAAAAATATATATTAAGGGTGATTCATACTGAATATCTGTCGTACCAGTAGGCAAATAAATTTCATAACGCGAATTCAAATCTTATATGCCCATGAATTAATCACATTTGAATGATATTTTTATTTGTAATTCAGCTTGTATGTTTCTGCGTATTTTTACATATTAATAAATTGTCCATGTTTTAATTGGCATCATCGTATTTTTTTCTTATATTTTTATTTTATTTATCCATAATTTGTTATATGAAGCTCATTTGTCTAACTTATTTGCATTTCCATAATGTATTTTAAAATTAGTAATATTTCTTGTCATAACGATTTTTATCGGATTATTACTCACTTTCCGAATTTTAAATTCTATTTGATCTATTTCGATTGTAAATAGCACAACCTAATAGACTTTATTTTTTTATTTGCATTAAAACCGTTAAATTGTTGTTGCAAGCCTTTTATAGAACTCGTGTCATTAAACTTCTCATAAAATTCAATTGTCACTCTACTAAATTATACAATTTTATTCCTGTTAAATCCTTATTCAAACTTTAATCGTAACCTTTTAGGATCTTAACTCTAACAGCTATTAAACTACGATTATTTTTAGTATACTATGACTTTTCCGAATAATGAAATTTTATTGAAGAAGAGGGAAAAAAAACGCAACGAACCGAGGATTTAAATGCTTCTTTTAATTAAGTTGCCCTCTCTTTAAAGGTAATTATTCCGGAAGAGCAACTTAACATTTACCCAAATGAAGGAATTCGGTCGAGAAGTACCTCTTCATTAATTTACAAAATCGTAAAAATAGTGGCAATAGAAAGAAAACTAATAATAGAAGGAAAAATTGAAGAGGGATAAAAGCTTCATAGCTCTAATTGCCTAGTTATCACATTTTAAAACTACTCATCCAACACTTCAGATTATTTGCTTAAGGGCATTTATTTGTAATTCTTTTTAAAGGATCAAGATAACGTAATTAAAATGTTCATGCACTTTCATTTAATCAAGATGATAACAGTTTATATATAATTTTACTGTTTGTAAAAATATTTTTTTAATCAACTAAATTTATTGTTCTGTCCACATTAAATAAATAAATAATTTTTCTAAACACTTCTAGAAACAAAATTTATGCTTTATGCTAAATGTCGTGTTTAAGTGTTAGGTTTTCCTTTATTATAATATGCATAAATAAGTAAAATTGTGGTTTCTAAGATCTTCGATGGAGTAATCGGAAACTGTGATACACGGATGATAACTTGCTTCTCTTCTCTCTGTGGGTATTATATTAAAGTTTAATCCTCCTTATTTTATGATTCTTGGGGTAATAAATTTGTTACGAAATAATTTTTCCCACCATTTCTTAAAAATAATACAAAAATTGACTGAAGGGCTTCTAAAGTGTTGACTGAATTGGCCAAAATGCTGAAAGTTGTTTTATTTTATTTAGTCTCTACGACTTTATAATATCCATTCTAGGATATAGAGCAGTTGGCATGCCTCATGATCAAATCATTTACCATGCTATTTCATCCTACGTGTAGATAAAATGAGCAAGGATTTCAAAAAAGAATTTAATTCAAAGAGGAAGAAAATATAAAAATGCGAACTAATACGTTATGCTTAAGAAACCAGATATTTATTCAGATCAATTAGTCAAATTATTGAAAAAGAGGAAAAACAATTACCCACAAACCTGTTGGTAGCAGACTACGTAAGATATTATTTCAACATGTATCTTATTTTTTATTATGTAACTTTATTCATTCTCAATGAGAAGTTTAGAGGTAAGCAATTTAAACATCAAAACAAATATTTGCGCAAACTTTAGGGGAAATTTTTAAATTTTCTCTAAACAATTATAATATTCATAAATTATTTTAAGACTCCAGAATACGCACATATCTTATATTGTTTGTCTAGTTCAAAAATAAGTAGTTTCTATTTGTGCTGGACCAAATCGACTCCGGTTGACAGCTAAAAGTTCACACATACACCGCATTATTTTGGTGAATTCAAAAAGAGCAAACCCGTATTTTACCATCGACCTATATACAGGACAGCTGCAATTTGTTACATTTTTACAGCTGATATCGTTAAATTTAATTATTTTTCACTTCTAAAGAGAAGTTTTTGATGGATTGGCATTAATTATACCCATTTTATGTATAATTTTATGTTTTTTTGTATTTTTTTAAACTTTTTGAAAATGGCTTATCTTTACTATTTTATTTGACACGAATTAAAATTTCATTTTAAATAATTGCAAGAAGAAAACAATAAATTTCTTTTAAAATTTATTAACTCCAAGACTTCAGTATTACATTTGAGTAAAAATTGATTCGAAAAATGTATATTTAAACTGGTTTTACAAGTGATTTAGATGCTTTCCTATATACAGGACAATGGTAAAATCCCCTACTACCGGCACCCTGCTGAGAAACTCCATTACATCCGGGTTTCTTTGAACAAAACGTCAGAGTTTGCTTTTAAACTTCCTCCTCATTGGTCAAGAGGTTTAATCACGTGGTGACGCTATCTGTTTGGGGGGAATTATGAACTTAGAAGTGAGCAATTCATTCAATGCGTAACTATTTTAGCGAGAAAACGTCGAAAATGAGTAGAAGATTTTTAACAATTGAAGAGGCCCATGACTATTTAATGTCATTGAGCGATGAATTTGATGACAGTGATCCTGAAATGGTAATATTGCTACCTGATCCCGATGTAGTCACTGATGATGAAGACATTGATGATGCCTGTACTAGCAATGAACATAGACCTGTTATATTTGATGAAAAACCACAGGAAGAAACTGCAGGAACTATTGAAGTTATGAAGGAAAAAACAAATGCAAGAAGTAAATATTTCATCACCAAAATGGGCGAATCGAACACCAAAATATTCGTCAGCTCCCGAATTATTTCATAGTGGAAATCATCAAAAAATAGTGGGCATGGTTTCAGGAAAATCACCTGTAGAGTTATTTGAAATGGTGGCTAAAAATATGATTGCAAAAACAGTAGACGAAAGTAACAAGTATGCAGGACAAAAAAATAATCAAGAATTTAATCTAAAAACAGATGAATTTAAGCAATTTCTAGGAATTTTATTCTACAGTGGTTATCACATTTTGCCTAGAGAAAAAATGTACTGGGAAAATGCTCCTGATGTTGGAACAACTCTCGTCAGTCAAGCTATGTCGAGAAAAAGGTATTTTGATATCAAGAAGTACTTGCACTTTAATGACAACACTGCTATTGATTCATCAGATCTCTTTTACAAAGTTCGTCCAATTTATGAGCTGTTGAATGAATCTATACAACAATTCGGGGTGTTTTCGGAACATTTAAGTATTGATGAAAGATTGGTTCGTTATTTTGGAAAACACGGTTGCAAAATGTATATGAAAGGGAAACCCGTGAAATTTGGATACAAACTCTGGATACTCGCATCTTTTGATGGATATCCTTTCCATATAATACCGTATCAAGGAGCGAAGAAAGATATTGAGTCTGACCTAAAGAAAGCGAAAAAGTCATTATTTCAAATGGTTGTTGAAAATTTGCTTTCAATCGTTGAAACTCCAGCACTTTATAAAATCTATATGGATAACTTTTTCACATCTTATGATCTTTTCGTTAGCCTAAAGAGTAAGAACTTCTTCGCTACAGGAACTGTTAGAGAGAATAGAATGGGAAAATGTCCCTTAAAATCATCTAAAATTTTGGGTAAGATAGATCGTGGAACATCCGATCGAAAGTTTGACTCTAGAAATGAAATTGCAGCAGCACTCTGGAATGATAAAAGAGTAGTATCATTGATAACTAGTTTTGAAGAAACAAAATGCTTCACAAAAGTTGAGAGAAGAATGAAGGGTGGGAAGCTGAAAGTAGACATACCATCATGTGTTGTTTCCTGTAACAAGTATAAGAATGGAGTAGACTTGTTTGACAATCTCATGGAAACATATTGTTCTTCTATACAAGGAAAAAAATGGTATTGGTCATTATTCATAAATGCATTTGAGACATCATTGCTTGCAGCATGGAAACTTTCCAAACTTTTTGTGCCTGAACAAAGTCTAGAACTACTGGAATTTCGTCGACACATTACAGTAGCCTACCTAGGATTGAGCGTACCTCGAAATAATGTTGGAAGAAGCTTAGGCGCTCAACAAAGAAACCCAGACTACTTGAAATTGCAAACTGATCACACATTAATTAGAAATCCTGATGGAAAACAACGACGTTGTCAGCTTAAAAACTGTACAGGAAAACCTACTACTGTGTGCCAGAAATGTAACTTAGGACTTTGCGTCGAATGTTTCCTGCCATTTCATGTAAACCAAGAGGCTTGTTCATAAAACATATGGTAGTGGATTGGACCATCGTCCTATATATAGGACAGCTTGTAAATATTAAACCATTAAAGTTTTGGTGAGTTTTTTGAATGTTATGTTTTTCTTGATGTTTAATTAGTATGTGACAGAAATTTTTTCAATAAATATTACTTTTTTCTAAATGTGGTAAAATATGGGTTAACATCAAAAAAAGTTTTTTTTCCTAATTCGCCAGTTGGGGATATTCAATGAATCATTCAAATAAAGAAATACATCTTGTTGCAGCCAATAATCCTATGTTATTGCAAATCGAGCCCTAAGTTAACGAGAATTCAACGTTAGAATAAATATCGAGTATCTAAAATCATGTCGCAGATACCTCTGCGCAAGCGAAAGCTTGTACGGATAAATATCGATAATTCTCTTAAAGTGTCCGCAGTATTGAAAATCACTGGGGTATTTACAACATACCTTAACAGTGTGGTCTTGTCCACATCGGACAATACAGACGCTCCTTAAAATTTAGACTTAAAAAAACGTGATAGATATGTCTGTTATCAAGGATTTGATAAATAATCCCTGTTTTATTCGTAAGAATGTTGATTTCCTGGTTAGAGCCATTGGTGAACATTCACTACTACATACGAAAAAAATCGCATTAGGGAATTCAGAAATGCAAACGAGAAATGCAAATAAAAATGCACCTAATCTCATTAAGACGTGGAGATGCATTTTAGCCTGATATGATGCTCTCGGCTACAGTGGTTTGCTTGTTCTGTTTCTTTTTTCATCTTTATTTTTATATTACTCTCAGCTACTGCAGTTTCGTATTTTTCATTGGCAACTTTACCTTTTATATTTCAAATCACTTTTGTTCTCATTCACTCCAGGCCAGTCTTGAGAATGGGCTCTTCTTTTTGAGTGCTTGAAGCATGTTGACTTTTATTTCCATCTGCATAGTTTTAACGCCAATGAAGTTACTGTAATCAAGTAAAAGCTTACCCCTTCAGTTTCTTGGGATCATTTATTTTATTAAGAATACCATGTTAAGACTTCGTGGTTTTCCTCACCGTGTAACGCAAATTTGAGGTAGTTCCACGAGTCCCCCACAAAGGCAAATTTTACCCAATACTTGATCCAGGAGTTCCCTTTTCTTCTGGATTGGGTTCAAAATTTCAAGGCTACGGAGTTGATCATTAGTAGTTTCAAATCTAAAACTTGGGTCTGCTATTCAAAGACGGTTATAAAATAAAATAAAATATAATTAATGTGTGCTCTATGTGTAATTCATCATTAAAATGCTTTCTTCCGACGAAATTTTGAGCTAACTTTATAAATCTCGAACTAACTCCCATTCTCTTATGTTTTATGCGCTATTTAATAATTTTCTGAAGACTAGCTTCGTCAGATGATACGTTTAAAATAGTATCGTCTAATTATATATCCCCTGTATTCTAAGAACTGTTAAACCAAAAGCACAAAAAGTGCTTATCCTTTCAGATTTAAAAAAGCTGTATCCATGCTATAAGACATTCTAGCAATAAATCTCACTCTATTATCCCATATATTTTAAAGTTATACATTGGACTCACTAACAATAACTACGAAATAATATTTGGTTGGACAAATTTTAAATTAGGTGTTTTAGTGTTGGACAAGTTGCTCATTTTAACCTAGTTGTTCTGACTTTAACGATGTTACCGCAATTTTAATTTAGTTTTGGGCGCTGTACAGCCAAACCATGGTTCTTGCATCAAAAATTTACATCAATCAATTTAAGAATATTTTAAAAACAGCTGCACGAAGCCAGGCATTTTGCATTAAAATTTAAGTGATACTGTCACTTTTGTATTATTATACATTAAATTTATATAAAATTAATAAAAGAAAATAATCTATCGTTCATGAAATAGTAATCAATAATGCGCATGATTTCCATAAAAGGGAAATTACCCAAGAATTTTCATTAGCGCGAGGTTTATTCGACATGTGTTTGGCTATCGAGAGAGTATGATTTAAGATGGCTATTTATTCTATCATAATAAGCTAAAGCATAGAATCTAAGGCAATAAATTTAGGCCGCAAAGAGTTTTCCCATTAAGTTTTAGCTGCTTCATTATGTTTAGGTCTTCGTGTCATCAAAATGTTCAATAAGAAGAACTGATGTTAAAGCGGAGAGAAATACACTTACGTGAACACAATTAATTAAACTTACATATAGATTATTGATCATTTTAGGAATTTTATTTATTTTTTACTGATTAATTTTGGAAAATATTTTATATTTTTACGGGAAGTATATTCCAAGACAAATGATGTCTAGCATTTATGATAGAACTTTTTAAACAATTTAAGTGACTCAGAAATATTTTTATGTCATCCCTAAAGCACAGAAATCTCGTTTTTGCATACTTTTCCAAAGCATATATATTCTGTTTCCGTTAATTTAATATCCATGATGCAAAAAAAAAAAAAAAAAAAAACTTGCTGCTATCTATTCATTAAAAATAAAACCAATGTATTAGAGAAGAATATACATGCTACGGTAAAAGTGATAAATCCGGTTATTGTTAATAATATCCAATTAAGTTTGGTAAATGTCATTAAACGGTTTATATAGCATTGGAGAGTTAGTGTGCCTCTTCGTATATGTGCTACGGTTAAAGTGATAAATCCGGTTATTATTATTACAAATTGTCAAAATTAGTAATAACTGTTTCTTTTAGTCAAAGTGAGAAATGAAACGCTAACGCGGGGTAGACTATATATGAGGGTGTCCCAGGTGATTCTCGAAAAGTTGTGATCGCTGTTGATTGCCAAACTGAGCGATGTTGAAACCCAATCGTGATTCTAATTGGTTTAGATTTTAGCATTATTTTTAAATGTTCAACGGTATAAGTAATTTCAGAGGTCCGTTAGTTTTACGTTGGATACTGGCTGGTAAGGTTACTTTTGCTTCTGGTCAATAAGATCGAAGGTATGTGGGCAGTCATAAAAAGGGACTTAAGAAAAAAATTTCACCGCCAGTCCGGTTCCACAGACGCCATTTTCGATTCGTATTTCGCCGAATTTATGTGGCGATGGAGGTACACAGATCCTATTCATGATAAATTTAGACAGTATCTAACTGCTATTAGAGAATTCTGTGCACCTAAATCTGAGGATATTCGAGCTTAATGAAGAAATGAGTTGTTTTTTTTCCTTTTCTTTCTGAGCTTACTCCATTAATTATTGTTTTGATTCAAAATGCATTTTATTGGGTTTGTTAATTTTGCTTACATTGGGTTCATTGCAATTTTATAAAGTTTTGGCCGATGTTTTGCTGAAATTTTCCAATGTTTTATTAAAATATCATTATGTTTTGGCCGCTATTCCTGTTCCCACGGTGTTCCGCTCAAACAGGAATGGCGCCAAACATAAGTCGCCAATTTCGCCAAGGGGCACCCTCAAGTATATTTTTACCCTAACGTGTATTGCATTCGGTGTGAATTACATTGCGAGAGGAAATTTTAAACAGCATTTGAAGACACTGATTAGTGTGTTGAAACCGAGAACAGCCTATACCGGAGAGTGGCACTTAACCTTAAGCAAACATCAGTATTGGTTATACCGGGCAAATGTATTCCGGTAAGTGGCGCTTAATCTAAAGAAAAAAACGTGAGTGTAGTGTATACTTTAACTTTTAATCATATCACCTTTTTAAAAATAATATTAAAAATACTTACGGCTTTGAAATGAAATATTTTTTTAAAACAAATAACTTATTTTCGCAGGAAAATCTACTATGACTTTTAGAGTTACGAAGTGTTTTTGATTTTTACATTTGCAACAACTCGAATTGCCCTTGCTTCTACGATTGCAATACTGAAATCCTTGACCATCTAAGTTTGAATCCTTAGGAGACCATTCTTTTAGACTTATTTCATTTACTGGAGCTTCATTCGCTAAAATAAAAGCTTCCTTACAGTCAGTAAAATCATTCCATGCGTGTACAGTTGTTTTAAAATGCATTTTTCATTTTTGCCTTTTTTTTTGCTTTAAGTATGTCTAAATAGTTGTGAAAACGTGATTTCTAAATCGTCATCCATTGTGTCGTTGTAAAATTTGTTAAAATAGTTATCTTATTTTGTGAAAAACTATAACAAAAACGCCAAAAAATGACGAAAGAATCGGGAGCCTAAATTCTAAAATAAACAATCGGCTTATTGTGTCATGCTGTTGCCAACACATAAAGAAAAACTCGAAAGAATTACATTTTACCAAGCTTCGTTGGGTATTACTAATTTTACAGTTATTTTTGCGTCCCATAGTGTAAAATCTTACCGGATATACTAAATAGAATTGCTAAATGAATTATACTAAAGTACTCAAGTAAGTAAAGTAGTAAAGTATAAAATGAATAAAAAGTTATACTTAAGATATTAAAAACATTTTGAAACACAAATATTATGTGATGTGTTTATTGGTTTGCATGACCAATAAACATTATAACTTAAAAAAACACAAATTCATTAGTGTCGAATATTAAGTTCTAGTAGCAATAACATATTTATTTAAGTTTCTAATTCACACAAATCACAGTAATAGTTTTTAAAATGACTTGGAAATAAATTATTTTAATATTTATTGTAAATAATTAATTAATTACGTTATGTAAAAAAATATTTAGACTTCGCTCTTCTATTTTTAGAAATATTAATTGCTATTAGTTGTTTTTTTGAACAGATCAGATCAATTATTATTTTACACCCAAAAGTGGAAAACTATCTTATTTAAATAATGTAGTTAAATAATACCACCATATTAACCGTGCACCATAATAAACAATTATTTAATTGCTCAATATGGTGCACCATGTCCTATTTAAACCACTTGCTATTTTATTCTACATTCAATTTAACGTAGTTCGATAAAATTAACCAAATTTATTTGAATTATTTTTTTAGATAGGCTAAAAGAATTACTGATACAACATCTGAATGCTGCTATATTGCTCCAAATTCACTCCACAGCTAAATTTACTAAAGTTTAAGTATCTTTGTTTATCGAGGTCTAATTTGAATAGAGAATGCAACAATTATAGCCATTTAT